ACGATCTAATTTTCAAATTCTGAACATTGTCTCGAACAAGTGAGCTATGATCAAAATTCGTTGAAGAAATACAATGGCACATTTCTTCGAAGTAATTCTCGATTAATTTGATCGAATGAATAAATCCCGGAGCAAAGGTAATTGAATAGGCGTAAATATTCGGAATTGTCAATGCAAAGACAAGTTGAACATATGCACTTGTTTCAAAATCAGTAATACTTTCAATCAAATCAAATGGTATAACATTGAAAATAGACGCGATGAATTTAATTCCAGGAATTGGGAAAACAGCTGACATCATTTGACTAATCGGACCAATTGGTATTCCATCTTTCGATTTAGAAAACATGCTTGCTTTCTTTCCTATATACAAGGTGAACGGTCGTTGATCAGGGAAAGGATATGATGAAGAAGGTAATGATCGCCAAATCAATGACTGTCCCAAGTTTGTCAATGTCATCGTTTTTCTCACCATGGATTTTATTACAGGAAGAATTTTGGACTTTCCGGTTGTCCCAGAAGTAACAGCAAAATAGATGATTTTATTAGACGACAGTAGATGTTGTTCTCCATTGTCTATCATTCGATCGATATAACTTCGATAATCATCATAGGTAGTCAATGGAACTTTCTCTCGAAAGTCATCAATCGATCCGTATCCTCGATCAGTCGACGATGATGAAGATGGTCGATGAGAAGACAAGAATGAGATTGATCGATCAAGAAAAAATGCACATGAATGATTATCCTGAAGAATCTTTCCCAACAATTCATCGTTAATTTTCTGTAAACAAAAAAGTGAATCTCGGTAGTACAATATAAATGCATTTTTATTTGATGATTTTAAATTTCGATCTATTAATCGTTTACGTATTTGAATTCGAATAAATCTTTCCAAAATACATCGAAGATATAATGACGACGAAACACACAGAATAACGATAATTATAATTAAACTACCGAGAAATAATGAATAGAACAAATGGAATGGACCTTCTGATATAAAAGCACTCCATATATCCAAGAATGTGGATCCCATGCTTTAAACGAAGAGAAAAAAAAGACGCAAATAAACGTGTTTTTATGACAGAATGTAGGTCTTATCTTATCTTATCTTTGTAGTGAGAGAGCTCGGTAAATAACACAAGCGTCATTTCGATTAGTTTGGCTTTTATTACATCTCATATAAATGAAAGCAAAAAGTTTTCTACTGCTAGGTAGTTAACGAATATTTTGCACTTCTCAACTAAATTCTCATTTCACGATTTCTTACAAAGCTGAAGTTGT